GGGCCCAGCCCAGGGCTGCTAAAATGGGTGTTCATCCCCCTCCCAATGCTGTGCCTGGCCTGGGCCCCCAGGGACTGCAGGTGCCCTTGGGGGCTGTCACCCCTGTCCCTCCCTGCAGCTTGGCAGACGCTGTGCTGACTGGTGCCCTATGGACTGCTGACCCCAGTGCTGGCACCCCGGGGTGATGGTCCATGTGCTGCTTGCGGTGGCTCAGATTGGTGCTGGGCAGGACGGTGCTTCACGGTACTTGGTGCTCCGGGAGTGGTCGGGAGCTGAGGGGTGCTGGGCCAGGGGCTGCAGGCCCAGACCCTGCCCTACCCAGCTCCGGGGGCCATGCAGCAGCCCAGGTGCAGGAGGACCCTGAGCCTTCCCTAGGAACCCGAGGAGCTTCCAGGGCGGGGGTACGATGCCTCGTGGCTGGGGGTGATGTCCCAGGGCAGGGCGCCATGCCCCAGGGCACAGATGCTGCCTGAGGGAATGAACCTGCTTCCTGGCCGGGAGGGGACACTCACCGGGCTGGCTGCAGCAGAACGCAGCAGTGCCCACATCTTGCTGCCTGTGCATGGCTGACCGGGGACAGGAGAGCCTTTGAGGTCTCTCGAGCCCTTTCACTATGCACTGCTGCAGGTGACACATCCAGGGAATCTCCTGCCCAGAGCTTCAGGATGGTTCCTGTGGTCCTGGGAGGGAGGCGCCTGCCATGCTCAGCGTGGGAACCCTGTTCCTGAGACCAGGTACCTCTCTGGGCAGGGGTCCCAGGCAGGGACAGTGCCCAGGTACGGGCAGCACAATGGTGCTGGCAGAGCTGTGTGATAGCTGACCGGGACAGCCCAGCCTCAGGAGCAGTGATGATGGCTGCTGTGACCCACGCATGCCTCAGACCCACCAGGCAGCCTGCAGCTACAGGGGCACAGGTGGGAGGTGATACCCCAAAAAGCCACATCACCCAGCATGTTCTCTTACAGCCACAGTGGGGACACTGGGCATCTGGCCTTCCCTGGGACCCTGTGGCATGACTGCTCCCCAGGAACGTCTTGGCCACCTCCAGAAAATGGTCGAGGTGCCAGAACCCCCTGCCCCGGGCCCCAGCCCCCTCTGCGGGACTGCTCTGCACTCCTGTTTATGCATGTTGTGAGCCCGCACGGAGCCCCTGCCATGGGGCCGGTCCCCATCTCCTCCCAGCACTGTGCACGGCAGTCACACAGGCAGTGTCACTCACACCACGCTCAGCGCCCACCGCAGCTCTTCCTGAGCCCAGCAGGAGCAGCCATGCATCGCGGGCCCTGGAGTGTGGCCTTGGGTTCTGCCACTGTAGCCCTGGTGCTCCTGGAGGCTGGGATTCCCACGTGGCCATGGGTGCAGAGCGAGGGCTGGAACAGCATGGGGTGCCCCACAGCAGCCCCGAATGTCCAGTCTGGTCAAGAGTGCGTTTGGGGGTCAGGGAGGACAGCCTGTGCCTGAGCAGAGCCGGGGGGAAGCACCTTCCCATTACACTTTCCCCAGACCCAGCATGTCTGCGGTGTGGCTGCAGCCCCAGCCCCAAAGGTGTTGTCACAGCAGACAAATGCATCACTTCTGCCCATCCTCCCCGTTTCCCATGAAGAGCCATCTGTGGCTGCAGCTCCATCTGTCATAGTCAGCCCCTCACCCCCTTGTGCTGTGGGGTCCCAGCACATGCCAGTGGGTCCCAGGTGCTGTCCTGGGCACAGGGCAGTGACAGGGGCACCAAGGGAGCACAGGGCCATGCCCACTCTGCCGGGGACTTACAGGGGCCTGAGGTGCCCTGGGAGGGACAGTTCTGCCTTGGCACAGGAGCAGCCCACAAAGGCTCTGGGAGTGGGCACCCCCATCCCCTCTCTGTCCTGCTCACAAGCACTGTGGGGACACATTGTTCTCCCCAGGCCCCGTGGGGGCACTCTGGGGGTGCCCTTTGTCCCCCAGCCCTGTGGGGGCACTCTAGGGCTACCCGGTGCCCCACAGTCCCATGCTGGGGTGCCCCACGCCCTCAGCCGTGTGCTGCCCCGACTGCCCACACAGCCCAGCTCCACTGCACATCTGGGATGGGGACACAAATGGGCCACCCTGCATGCCACAGGAAGGGTCAGACACATGCACCCTGCTTTGGGCTGGGGTCACTGAGGCCCCAGTTATTTATTTTTACACAGTGTACTACAATTCCTGTTTTTACTCGTTTGTACCTTTTGTATTGTGTCTCGTGGAGCTGCATGTACCAGCGCTGCCCGCGGCCGCGCACGGGCCACCCAGTGCAGCCTGAACCCAAGTGCCAACGTCTCAAAAAATGCCTTAATAAACCACACATTTGTACAGACACAGCCCCTGCTGCCATGGGCTCATGCCAGGCTGGCACCATGTTCCCATGGGATTGATGGGGAAGGGGAGGGTACTGGACCTGCACCACGGAGGGCTCACCTTGGCCTGGCCAGGCTCTGGCACCCACATCCATGGCTGCATGCTGACAAGTCCTTCCCCTGCGAGGCCAGGGAAGCTGCGGCAGGACCATGGCCTTGGGTCTGTCATACTCAGGCTGCATGCCTGGGCTCAGCAGCAAGGCTGACTGTTTCCATACAGGCATACGTGCAAACACGGCTGTGGAAGACATGTCTCCACATGTGCACACAGCTGGTCCCACATGCCACAGGCAACCCCATCCCATCCTGCTACCCTCGCTCTGGTGAGGGCAGTGGGCAGGACTGCAGGGACCCGGAGCTGCCACAGCTGCACCTGGACACACCGTCTGCCCAGCAGGTACCTCACATTCCCAGGATCCCCACTGAGGATAACTGGGCATACAAGTTCCCCACACCACAGCCTCATCACAGGCACCAGCACACACAGCGTGCACTGGGGATCCCAGTGCTCTGGTGATCCCACCAGTCTGCCCAGTAGCTTTGGCTCTGCTTATCCGTGTTGGGCGACAGAGACATACACATAGGGCTCTTCAGTGATCTTCAAACGCTGTGACCCGACGCTACGCATGCCCCCCTCACCAAACAGTGCCACTCCAACCCCAGGAAACAGTTACAGAGTTTGCGAACCAGGAGTGGCTGTGCAGCTGTCAGGTATTGGATGTGGCCAGACCCATGCAGTGACCAGCCACGTTCATCCTGATTTCCCCGCTTTACCATTTTTTGTTGCTCCCCAAACCAACCTGTTTAGTCCCTGTCCTCAGCTCTCAGATTCCAACACCCCACAGCGAGTCCTGCACAGCCCCAGCCTATTCTGCACAGCCCCCCAAGGCATGCCCAACCCTGCTGCCAGCACTCTGAGACCAGGGGAGCAGCTCCCACCCCCCTGCTCTGACAGGGCTGCTCACACTGCAGAGGTAAGCATAAGCCAGTAGAGCTGGGGCAGAGAGGGGGAAAGGACCACCCACTCCCTGATGGTGTTCCTGTGTTCCTGGAGTCCCCTCTGCTCCTTCATCCCCCAAACTGACCCCTTCCAGCTCCCTGCTGGGGCACAGTGGGCATGCCAGGACCAGCAGGCTGCCCTCAGTGCCAGTGTCCTCCTCCTGGTGTTCCTGTCCTCGGGAAAATCCAACTGCCCACGGCAGGGACTCGCTTCACCCCGTCTGCAGGAAGAGCACACGAGCGTGCCCAGGCGAGTGGGGCTCCAGCCAGGAGACGCCGAGGCTCCCTGAGCTCCCCGGCACCAGACCAGCAGCAGATGCTCGTTAGCGTGATTAGCTCTGTCCGGCCACCTTAATCCCGGCTGTCCAGACAGATCCAGGACATCATCCCCTGCAAATCCCATCCCACTTAAAGAGTCCATCCCCAAACTGGACACGGGGCACGTAGCCCCCACAGCACCCCAGCCCCTGGCTAGGGCCAGGGTGCCTGGTTCCCCACTCTGCCTATGGCCAGGAGGAGGCCAGAGCTGCCAGTCCAGGGCAGCTGGTGGAGCAGAGGGAACAGGAACAGACACCTCTGGCATGGCCCCAGTGCGGGGGATGTGGCAGCCACGGCCAGGCAGGTGGTTTTCCTATTGCCTGTCTCTTCCTGTCCTGGACCCCACTCTGCAGAAGCAGGAAAACAGCTGGGAACTGCTGGAGCCGTGGAATGTGCCATGTGATTTAGCTTGTCACCGAAACCGCAGGAAAAACAAAAAAAAACCTCTCCAACAGTATTTTTAGAGAATCAAGGCATTGCTTTATTCTGGCTGGGCTTTTTTGTTCTGGCCAGGATGTGCAACAGAAATCGTTTCATCCACACATGTTGCGAAGAGAAAATCACTCCATGACACGTTAATTTTACTAGATTTTTCACATATTTTATACAGTCAAAACACCTAGAATTTCACTGGTTCAGTGTTCATTGGTCCCAAGTTGCGTAGTTCTAAGTATTTGATTTCGTATGCGAGAGGCGATGTCTGCAGTTCATGTTCGTCAATGGTTGCTATCCTTTGTGTATCTCGTGCGATGCTCCCAGTAGCCCCTCCTGCACGGGACCCCTAACCCCCGCCCCACGACCCCCCAGCCTTATAAGGGCCTCTCCTCCCGCCCCCAGCAGTCTGGGACCATCAGCCCTGAACGGACTCTTGTCCTGCCTCCAGCCCAGGATCCCCAGCCCTGCAGGGAGCTCCGTCTCCCTCGCAGCCCGGGAGCCCGACAAGGACACTAAGCTGAATCCCCGGTCCGCCCGAGCCATGCCGCCGCGAACATGTCCGCACCGCGCCGGGAGACGCCCGCGAGAAGGGCGGGCACAGGGGCGGTGGCGGCCTGTGCCGTGTCCGAGCCGCCTCTCCAGGCCGCCGGCAAGCAGGGACGGACTCCCCCCTGGAATCGGGCCCGGAGCCCGCCCCGCTGACGGGAGGCCGAGAGGCGCGGCTGGGCCCAAGCCCGGGGCGCCGGTCTCGGTTCTGGTCCGGGCCCATCCCGGTGCTCCGGCACCGCCCACCACGTGACCGGCGACCACGTGACCGCTGTTTTGGTGTCCCCACGTGGCGGGAGTCACGCGCCCGCACACGTGACCGGGCGGCAGGGCGGCATGGCGCGGGGGTAATGGGCACGGAGCGGGACCGCGGGGACAGCGGCACGGGGACAGCGGCACGGGGACCCTTCTCGGCGGGGGAGGAACGGGGCGAGGGTGCTTTCTGGCTACGGGCGCGGGACGGGCTGTAGGGGTCCGACGAAGCTCCCGAGTGACGGGAGCTCGGGGAGTCTGATGGGGCTCCTGGGTGGTGACCGGGGACCGGAGGGTCAAGCGGGGTTCCCCGGTGATGAGGGCTCACGGGTCAGGCGGAGTGTCCCCCGGGAACAGGGAGACAGGGTCAGACAGGCTCCGCGGTGCTGGGGCTCGGGGAACTCCGGTGGGGTTCCCCGGACCCAGGTGAGGGGTACTCAGGCAGGTTCTCCCGTCACGGGGGCTCGGGGGTTTCCGGTGGGGCTCCCCGAGAGCAGGGCTCCGGGGGTCAGTCGCGGTTCCCCATGGCTGTGCCAGTGCCTGTGCTCCCCTGAGCCCGTTGCAGGTGTTGGGGGATCGCCGCCGTGCTGGCGCTGTGTGCGGTCGCCTGGAGCTGCACCCTGGGGCTGGCGCTGCAGCTGGAGCGGGACCAGCCGTTCCGGTAGGTTCGGGGCGGTGGGCCGGGCCGGGCCGGGCTCGGGTGCCCGTGCTGGCCCCGCTCTGGCCCCGCTCACCTCCCCCCTGCAGCGTGCCCCCCGGCTGGGCCCATGCCGGCCGTGTGGATCCTGGGCACCCAGTGCAGCTGACCTTCGCCCTGCGGCAGCGCGGCACTGACCACCTTGCCCGCCTCGTCGAGGCTGTCTCGGACCCCCAGTCCCCACAATACGGTAACAGCCCCGTCCCTGTGGTTGCTCCACAATCCCCGGGGACTGTGAGGGGATCTAACCCCTCTCTGCCTCCCAGGGCAGTACCTGTCCCTGGAGCAGGTGAGGGACTTGGTCCAGCCTTCCCCAGCCACGCTGATGACAGTTCTGAAGTGGCTGCAAGGCCATGGTGTAGAGGACTGCCAGAGTGTCAGCACCCTTGACTTTCTGGAGTGTTACCTGCCTGCAAGGTGAGCCCTAAGGGCTGGAACCGACTCTGGTGGCCCTGCGGTGGCCTTCCCTGTGTCTGACTACTGTCCCATCCTGTGCTGGCTGTTCTGGTGTCCTAGTCCAGTCCCACTCCATAGTGGTTGTCCCTCCTTCCCTCCCAGCCCTGTCCCTGTGTCCTAGCCCTGTCCCATCCCACAGCAGCTGTCCCTGTGTTGCAGCGTGGCTGAGCGCCTGCTCCCTGGGGCCGAGTTTCACCGGTACGTGCTGGGCCAGCGCAGCCTGGTGCGGTCCCCACTGCCCTACACTGTCCCCGCAGAGCTCGCGGAGCACTTGGACTTCGGTACGTCCCACCTGGGGGAGGTGAGCCTGTGGAGCTCAGGTGCAGCTGCTTCTGGGGGGACAAACCTCCTTCCTGCAGGACCATCTTACATGGGATCCAGTGACTGTCCCATGGAAAGTGCCGGGGGTGCCAAGCTGAGGCCGTGGGAGGGCTGGGGAGGCTCCTTCCTTGGGCTGGGGCTGCAGGGCTGGACTCTCCAAGCCCTGCTGACATAGGGACAGTGACAGAGAGCCCAAGGGCTCTGTCCTGCCTTCCCGGGCCTCAGCGCCCTGATGGCTTCTCCCACCGCACTGGGCTCTGCTGCAGTGGGTGGGATGCACCGGTTCCCCACGGAGCACAAGGCAGTCAGCAGAGCCGGGGCCAGGAAGGAGCCACAGCTGTCAAGAGCATCGTTCCACCTGGGTGTGACACCAGCCATCCTGCGCCAGAGATACAACATGACAGGGGGGGACGTGGGGCTCCAGCCCAACAACAGCCAGGCTTGTGCACAGGTAATAACTGCCCGGGTCAGAGGTCTGTGTGCTGTGGCAGTTCTGGGGATTGGTTCTGTTCTAGGGATCTTGGGACAGCTGGGTGTCTCGTGGCGGCTGCTGGGAGTACCTGGTGTAGCACAGACCTGTGCTGTGCAATTTTCCAGGTCAGGATCAAAATGCTACCTTGTTTTTTCAAGAGAAGACAACCTGTCCCTCTGTGTCACAGTTTCTCGAGCAGTACTTCCACCAAGCTGACGTGGCTGAGTTCATGCAGCTCTTCGGCAGTGGTTTTGCCCACCGCACGCAGGTGGACCGGGTGGTGGGGCACCAGGGCCATGGCAAAGCTGGGCTGGAGGCCAGCCTGGACGTGGAGTACATCATGAGCACAGGCGCCAACGTCTCCACATGGGTCTTCAGTAATCCAGGTACTGGGGAAGAGCCCCGAGGGGGAAGGGGAGCACCCGAAGGGGAAAGGGAAGCACCCAGAGGGAGGAGGAGAGTGCCCGGAGCAGGGAAGGGAACACTTGGAGGTGTGAGGGGCACGGCTGGAACAGGAGGGGAGAGTGCTCGGAAAAGTGAGGGGAGAGGTTGCAGAGCTGTGCAGACAACTGGCTGTAGTACAGCCCCAGCTGCCTTCCCAACTGCTGTGAGTGCACCCTGTGTGCTCCCCAAGTCAAAGCTGGCACCGGATTCCCAGCTCCTAGGGACATCACTCCTGGTTTGTGTAGTGACTTTGAACCGTGTGAACCCTCAGCATCCAGAGTATCCTGAAGCAGGGATTTCATTGCTGGCACCATGTGGAGCAGCTGCTCGCTCAGCTCCCATGTAGGAGGGCACAGCCCTTCTCCCATGGGGTTTTCCAGCATTGTTGGAGCTGAGTTCCCACCCACGAGTCTCGCAGTGGAGCACATGAGGGAGAGTGAGGGAATCTGGGAAAACAAATTGCCAAACGGCCTGCACAAACACAAACAGGGTACAGTGCTAGGGGCAATGTCCCTGTCCCAGATTGGGAACTGGCTGAGCAGGTGAGTACCACAGGGGCAGTGGCCCTCTCCCTGATGGTGACAGTGACAGCAGCCCAGCACTGCCCTTCCCTCTGCCCCCACACAGTTACTAGTGTGGGAAGGGTGCAGGGACAGTGACATGGACAACCAAGAGTGAGTGGGGGTGGCTGGGGCTCTGCTCCCCTCCCAGTGGAGACGGCTGGAGGGCAGGGAGGGACTTGGGCAGGTGCAGGTGGAATGTGTGGAGGTGGAACATGCACCACTCTGCTGGGATCTATTGCCAGAGGAGCCGAGGCCCGGCTGGTTTCACAGGTGCCCATGTGGCTGCAGCCCTGGGCCAGAGTCTTGGAGAGGGGTGTGAGTGTAGCCCCCTGTCCTGGGGTAAGGATGACCCTCTTGCCACCCCCATGGACTGAGCAGAAGCTTGGTGCCATGCAATGTGAGGAGCCCCGGGATGAGCTCACAGAGCTCCAGGTGGGATATGCTTTGACTCTGTGGCCCACAGGAAGGAGCACCTGGGGCTGCACTGCATAGGAAGGTGCTGGTGCTGATGAAGCAGGACTCCTCGTGCTGTCCCCTGTCCCTGGTGTTGAAGGACATGTCCCTTCCCCGATGTCCTTTCCAGGGCGCCACGAGAGCCAGGAGCCCTTCCTGGCTTGGCTGCTGCTGCTCAGCAACATGTCAGCGCTGCCCTGGGTGCACTCAGTGAGCTACGGGGACGACGAGGACAGCCTGTCCTATGCCTACATGGAACGCGTCAACACCGAGTTCATGAAGGCGGCGGCCCGCGGCCTCACCATCCTGTTTGCCTCAGGTGCGGCCAGGGCCTGGCATGGCAGAGCCTGAGCACCGAGCAGGGCTGTGGAAGGGCTGACTGGGATGCAAGGGTCACCTGTCATCTGTCTGTGTATCGGCAGGTGACGACGGCGCTGGGTGTCGGCGGGTGCACAGTGGGAACCACACGTTCCGGCCCAGCTTTCCGGCCTCCAGGTGGGTGAGGGAGGGAGTTGGGTTCAAGAATTCAACACAGACCTGCGGGGGCACTGCCGGCCCTGGCCTCGTTGGGTTCTGAGCCCCTGGAGGGTCACCTGCTTCCTCACCAGCATGGTTACAGACCCCAGAGCTGCAATCTATGCAGCTCCTAGGGGTTTGTTCAGTTTGAGAGGCAAGGTTGTGGTAGCAGAGGGAGCTCTTGGTGGCTGCTGAGGCCCAGGCAGCTGTGTGCCCACCTGCAGTGTCCCCCTGTTTCCCCAGCCCCTATGTCACCACTGTGGGTGGCACGTCCTTCAAGAACCCCTTCCTGGTGACAGAGGAGGTGACGGATTACATCAGTGGGGGTGGCTTCAGCAACGTCTTCCCCATGCCTCAGTACCAGGTGAGGGACACCTGTTCCAGTCTGGGGGCTGCAGGGTTAGGGGTGACAATGGAATTGGGGATGACCATGGGCTGTGCCATGCTGTCCCCAGGCTGCTGCCGTCGGGCGTTTCCTGCACTCAGCCTCGAAGCTGCCACCCAGCTCCTACTACAACAGCAGTGGCCGCGCATACCCTGACCTGGCTGCGCTCTCCGACAACTACTGGGTGGTGACAAACCGCATCCCGCTGCCCTGGGTGTCAGGGACCTCGGTAAGGACCTCATCCCCTGCTGCCCTCCAGGATGGTGGGGGTCCTGGGCTGAGGGGTTGTGCCCACGCAGGCATCCACACCGGTGGTGGCAGGCATGGTGGCACTGATCAACGACCGGCGCCTGCAACGGGGGCTAGCACCCCTGGGCTTCCTCAACCCCGCGCTCTACCAGCTGCAGAAGAAAGGGCTCGGTGATGCATTCTACGATGTGAGTGAAGCGGGCAGTGGGGACTGGAGAGGTTGTGCTGGGGGCTGAGGGGACTTTGGGTGTCCTGAAGTGTTGGGCTGAGGCCTGGGGTGGGCCTATCCATTGGGCTGGGAAGACCGAGCATGCTCCAAGGGCTGGGGACCGAGGGGGCTGTCCTCGGGCTCTTGCTCCCAGAGCTGTGCCTGGGGCAGGGCCAGCAGTGTCCTGCTGACAGGCAGGAGAGAGTCACAATGGCCTTCCCATGGGAGGGTGTCCTGGATTTCCCTTGACCTTTCCATGGGAGAGATTTCTTGGGGCATCCTCATAGACTACTGTGAGGTTTGTGGGGCCGGTCCCCTTGTGTGGCCAGGGCAGCGGCATCCAGTGACTGCGGAGGTCCAGAGTCCAGCTGAGTGTGCTGTCCCACAATGCCAGTGTCCTGAGGGGACCCTGGGCAGGAGTGGCCTGTGCAATGGGGGGCGTTGTGGGTGTCTCCATATCAGGTGTTTGGGGGCCCCTGCGCCCTGGAATTCCTTTCTTAGAGATGCTGGGGGCAGCTGTCCCTGGTTCCCAGAGGCTGCGGGCAAGTGTGCCTATGGTATCCCTGTCCCGCCTGGTTCCCGTGCCCCGGGGTCCCCGTCCCAGGGCTGTGTGGGGCTCCCGTGCCCCGGAGGTGGCTGTCGCGGGATTTGGGGGTGGTCCCCGAGCCCCCGTGCTGAGGCTAGTCCCCACAGGTGATCCAGGGCTGCCACCTCTCCTGTCTGGACGGCACCGTGCAGGGCCAGGGCTTCTGCGCCACCCCCGCCTGGGACCCGGTCACCGGCTGGGGCACCCCCAACTTCCCGCGCCTGCTGCGGGCGCTAGGGCCGCGCTGACCAGGACACCGGGACCGGACACCGGGACCGGACACCGGGACCGGACACCGGGACCGGACACCGGGACCGGAGAGCGGAACGCCGCCGAGGCGGGGGCGGGGCCAATAAACACGCGCAGCCCCGCCCGCCGCCTCTGTTTGTTCCCGCGCTTGCGCTAGGGGGCGCGCGGGGCGATCAACGCCGGAGGGAGGGGGCTCGACAGGGCCAATGGGCTGGTGAGAGGGGTGGGGCCGCGGGGCCAATAGGGTGTCTTGGCGCGCGCAGGCGCGGAGCGGAGGCTGGTGCCGGGGACCATGAGCGGCAGCGCCGATCCCGACCCCGCGCCCGCGGCCCCGGCGGCCCCGCCAGGCCCCACCGAGGGCAACAAGCCCAGCCCGGCTGCTGTGGGCAGCGCCGGGCCTGGGGCGGCGCCAGCTGCGGGGGGCGGCGCGGCGCGGGCCACCGAGGGCTGTGCGGCCGGCGGGAGGGGCCCCGGTGAGTCGAGATGCGGGGCGGCTGGGGATGGGCCCCGCGCACGGGAGTCCCGCGGGGTGCCCTGAGTCGCTCCGGCCGGGAGAGTGGCGTCCGGTGACTGCGGGTGTCCCGGGGTCCTACTGAGCGCGCTGTCCCGCAGTGCCGGTGTTGGCGGGGCGCGGGCGTGCGGGGTTCCTGGGCCTGATGGTGCTGTCCCGCAGTGCCGGTGTCCGCGGCCGTGGCCGCCCCTCCGGACGGGGCCATGTCCAACGGCGTGTACGTGCCGCCTGCGGCCAACGGCGACGTGAAGCCCGTGGTGTCCACCACGCCGCTCGTGGACTTCCTCATGCAGCTGGAGGACTACACGCCCACGGTACCGACATAGAGGGCGGCTCCGGTGGGACGGGACGGGACACGGGGCAGGTCCCACGATACTGGGATATGGGGCGGCTCCTATGCGATGGGATATAGGATACGGAAACGCTCCCACGGGGCCGTGGAGCTGTTCCAATTCTTCCTTTCCCAGATCCCGGACGCCGTCACAGGGTATTACCTGAACCGGGCAGGGTTTGAGGCCTCGGACCCCCGCATGTGAGTGGCCGCAGGGTGGGGGGAAGTGGCAGGAACCCCATGGGGGTCCGGCAGAGGGGCCCATGCCCCCGTGTCGTCTCGCCGACACGATCCCTGTATGCAGAATCCGCCTGATCTCGCTGGCGGCACAGAAATTCATCTCAGACATCGCCAACGATGCGCTGCAGCACTGCAAAATGAAAGGCACGGCCTCGGGCAGCTCCCGCAGCAAGAGCAAGGTGAGGGCACTGAGGGAACCAGGGAACCCCCTCTGGGGATGGGGCTAAGCCTGCAGCCACGGAGTGCAGGAACATGGGGTGCAGAAATCCCAAAACCTGCCAGGCTTATGGTGGGCCCTTGCAAGTGGGGAGGGGCTGGCAGGGACACGAGGGAGGCTCTGAGCTTGTGGACACACTTTGGTGTCCCCCACCCCAGCAGTGGCTGCAGCTCTGGGCTTGGGGAGGAGGTGACGTGGGGGGTCCTGGGGACCCTCCTAGTGCCATATCTGGGGTTCAGGGGCTCCGCAAGGCCAATGGGATTTGGTGCTAGGTGTCTGGGGATTTCTGAGGGCACAGAGCAAGAGAATGTGGGGAGCTAGGATTGCCCTAATGCCGCCCAGCAGCTCCTCTGGGAGCAGGACATGCCCGTCCTTGCACCTTGGGGAGTCCCACACCCCCAGGCTGTCCCTGCTGTGACCACCTTCCCCATGTCCTCCAGGACAAGAAGTACACGCTGACCATGGAGGACCTGACACCAGCGCTGGCCGAGTATGGCATCAATGTGAAGAAGCCGCATTACTTCACGTAGAGCACAGGGGAGCTTGTAGGAGCCACGTTGGTGCCATTAAACACCTGCTAGGGTTCTGTGGGAAGGCAGCCTTGCTCCTGTGCCTGCGTCCACAAATGCTGGCCCTGGTCCTCCACATGCTCACCCTCCTCTGGTGACAGCTGGTCACAGTGGGCTCGGTGCTCCTGACAGTACTGGAGCAGAGTGGAGTTAGGAGGACAGGAACTACGTAACACTCTTCTTCCTTCTCCGTCCCTAAACTTCCTCTTGTTTCCCACAGGGAATACCCTGGGGGCTGCACGGGTAGCACTGTGGCGCCAGGGACAGGACCCTGAGCCCAACCCCATCCTCAGTCCTGGACCTCCCCTGTGAGTCCCAGCCCTCCAGTCACTCCAGCTTCCCACCCCCAACCAACTCCCCCCATTCGCCCACCCTGTGCCTCAGCAGCTGGTTCCATACCAAAAGTTTATTTGGTTGCCAGTGGCCATTCTGGGGCCAGAGGGAAGTGGCCAGTGAAGCGCGAAGCAGGGGCAGTGCTGGGCACCACAGGTGGCCTCTCCTGGCCTGCCCCTTACCCCCCAGCCTTGGGGGGCTGAGTCCTGGGATGGGCTTTGCCCAGCAAGGGGGACAGGGGGCCCCACAGCCCCATCCCTCAGCACCAGGGCCAGGCCGCACGCCATGCCCTGGGTAGGCGGGCTGCACTGGATTGGGGGCTGCCCAGAGGCTGGGTTAGAACTACCCTGGTGAGGGGCTACCCTGGGTGGGGGTCTGGAGCTTGCAGAGCTCCAGTGCAGGCAGTGCCATCTGTACCGTGTGTCCGTGGCTGGCTCAGGGTGAGGGGTGTCCTCTGCTCCCCCCGGCTCTAGGGCTAAAGGCACTTGGGGGTGGCGGGGGGCGCAAGGCAGCACTGGACGGGGGAGGCACCTCCCCTCTACTTCTCCTGCATCTTCTCCAGGATGGGCACGATCATGTCGAACTTGGGGCGCTTGGCTGGGTCCTCGTTCATACAGATCTTCATCAGTTTGCAGATGTGGGGGGAGATGCCAGGGGGGATGGTGGGACGTAGCCCTTCCAATGCTACCTGCAAGCAAGAAGAGGAGCCAGAGTCAGGATTGGGACCCTGCCCCTGCAGGCAGGGACACCTTCCACCTGCCCCGGTGGTTCCACACCCCTTCCAACCTGGCCTTTAAAACACTTCCGGAGATGGAGCACCCAAAGTTCTCTGGGCAACCTGTGCCAGGGCCTCACCATCCTCTATGGCCAGAACTTCTCCCCTAACTGACCCGAATCAGTTCCTTTGCCCTTCCACCCCCTCACCTTCATACCAATCTCCATGTTGGACAGGTCAGCGAAGGGCACCTCACGTGTCACCAGCTCCCACAGCAGCACCGCGAAGCTCCACATGTCAGCTGAGCGCCGGTTGATCTCCTCTGGTTTTTTCTGCAAAGCTGGGGGAGGGCTGGGAGCTGAGTGGGGCTGGGGGTGAGGGGGCCAGTCTGGGAGGGCTGGAAACTAGGCACTCACCTTCGGGAGCCACCCAGGCCGGGGCGTACATCCGCCCCGGGCACTGGAAGGAGAACTTGACGTCAGCCATGCTGATCCGTGCCGTCATGTCCTCATCAATCTGGGGAGAGTAGGGGATCAACAGGAGCTCCCTGCCCTGAGAGCCCCCCAGCTTGGGAGAGGGACTATGCCCCTACTCACCATGACGCTGCGGCTGTTGAGGTGGTGGCGTGGAATGAGGGGCTCCAGCGTGTGCAGGAAGGCCATGCCCCGAGCGATATCAAAGGCAAACTTCACTGCCTGCATCTGGTCCACCACAAAATCTGGGAAGGGAGTGACAGGGGTTCAACCCACCCTAAGCCCACCCAGGGCTGTGGCTGGAGAGGCCCCTGCTGCCCCCAAACACACCATCCCCCAGCACTCACTGGTCCCCTCGTGCAGGACATTGTACAAGGAGCCGTAGGGCATCCAGTGGCTGATGACAGTAGGGTGGGGAGCTGGAGGGGCCTGGCAGGCGCCCAGCACTGGCAGCACATTAGGGTGGGAAAAGATCCTGCAAAAGAAGTGACAGCCCTAAGAACAGGGAGGGACTGCCTGCACCCCCTCATCTGGCCTTTGCCCAGGGCCTTCTAGCCCTTTGCCACCACCCTGGAGTGTTCCTGGCCCCACAGAGCTGGGAGGCTCCTGCCTGCCCCATACTCTTTTGAGAGCTGCTGTTGCCCTAAGAAGGTGCCAGGGTGGCCCTGGTCAAACGCTGGTGAGGATCCCAGGCACATGCCGGGGTGGCTTCAGGCAGGTGCAGCACTCACCGCAGTTTTGGGTACTCCTCGTTGAAGTCCCGGCTCTTCCGTGTCGTCCAGTCCCGGATTTTCAGCATCTTGATTACAATGTCGTTGCCCTGCCAGCGCCCCTTCCACAGCTGGAGAAGGAATAGGGACACAGGCACTGTGAAAGGGGGGGCAGAGTCCCCAGGCCCCTGTGTGGGACTCTGGAGCCCCACAATGAAAAGGGAGCCCCTTGAGCTGGGCAGGAGCTCCCTCCCTGCACCTGGCCATAGGACTCCAGAATTGCTGTGCCCAGCAGGACCAGGACATGGTACAGGCACAACACCCACGGCGAGAGGGACCCACCTCTCCTGACTGGTTCTCATTCAGCTTGTGGCTCAGGCTCAGCTGTTTGAAGTCAATCCCGGCGAGTTTGTTCAGGGTTCCATTCCCTACAGTAGAAGAGGGATATATGCTCATGGCTGCTGGATCCAGGAGGCAATGGCCGCAGGACATGGGGGACCCACGGCACCTCCCAAGAGACCCTCTGTCCTTACTGGGCCGGGTGCGGGTCGTGCCCTTCCAGAATGTGTCCTTGTAGGGGATCTTGGTGAGGCTCTGGCCCAGCTTCTCAGCACGCTCTGCAGAGGGAGGAGGAGAAGGAGAGTGGCACCCAGAGCCTGCTGTGGCTGGCCAGAGGCTGTGTCAGTTATGGGGTCCTGAGGGGTTCTCGTACCTTTCAGGACCTCTCGCAGTGGCATCTTGGCCTTGTCTGTGGGGGTCTCACCATATTTGTTAGCTATGCTGACTAGGGCCCCGCTGCCTACCAGATCCTGTAGAGAGCAAGGACTGTGGTTTGTGATCTCTCCTCAGCCCCCTACCACCCTGCCCTCCCTCCTGCCCGTGCTCCCACTCACCTCAGCCACCTGCTCGTGTCCCCAGAAGCAGGCATAGTGCAGCGGTGTGTTCCCATGCTCATTCACTGCATTGATGTCTGCTTTGAACTGCATCAGCTGGGAACAGGGGACAGTCCCTGTGAGCCCGGGACTGTCCCTGTAAGCCCAGGCAAGATCCCTATGAGCCCAGGACAGCCCCCATCCTTCTTGTGCCTTGTCCTGGGGGATGCAGGGGCAGCACATTGGGAGCTGTAGGGAGGGGCTGATGTGGGGCTTAGAGGGATTTGGAGGGTGTTTGTGAGGAGCGGGGAGCTCAGAGGTGCTGGGGGGATGCCAGGTGTTCCTGACAAGTGATGAGCGGATCAAGTCCCACGAGGGTAGTGTGGAGGGCTACAAAGGGGTGGGGAAGGGCAGGTGCTGGTGCGGGGGCAGGTACCTTCTGCACGATGTCACGGTGGCCATGGCTGGCGGCCAGGTGCAGAGGGGTGTCATCGCCCCGGTTCATGACATTGATGCGAGCCCCGCGCATGATGAGCATGTCGACCACATTTGAACGGCCCTCGCGGCAGGCCCAGTGCAGGGGGCTGAACCCATGGTCGTCCCTACAGGATAGCGGGGGGCTCTGCTCAGCTGTAGCCCCCTGGCCCAGGCATCACTGGCATCATTCTCAAAACACCAGCCACAGGGGCAAAGGGACCAGGTTGAACATCCATCCCACTCCCACCCACCCCCACCAGGGCCCCACCAGCCCAGGCCAAATCCTGTCTCCTCCAAGGCTGAATCACAGCCGGATCCTGTCCCCATCCCCCCACTCCATGACCAAGTAAGGGAGGAGGTGGCAGCCAGGCCTTAAATGGAGATCAGGAACTGTCAAAGTGGCTGCTGCAGCCCCGGCTCCCCTCCAGCCCCCTGGCACAGCAGACCCCACTGCCCCCACCATGGCCCTGCAGGCAGGGGGTACCCATCACAGAGCACTCCCTTGGGCACCTTCTGTGGGTCCGGGAGAGCTTCGAGTGCCTGGGACCCGCAGGAGGGGCAGAGAGGCATGACCAAGGGCTGCCATTTGTCTGAAGCATGTCCAGAACGCCACAGCCATGGCCTGGCTGGGGTCATGGTACAGGGTCACACTGTGCCAGCCGCACACACTGCAGGCAGATGCTCCAAGCCCCATGCCTAGCCCAAACGTGGCTCCTGAATGGCTGTGAGCACATGTTGTACCCCACAGTCCAGCAAAACCCCTGGAAAGTGCTGTGGGGAGCAGACACCTGGACACAAAGAGTGGCCCCCACAACTCTCCGCCCCAGTGGTCACAGCTGTGTGCCTACACATCAGCTAGGGTGCTCCCCAGAGCGGGGATGGTGACACAAGGATAAAGTCAGTGGACACAGCCACCACTATGGGGACAGGGGAGGTACCCCCAGCCCAGCTGAGCCCTGGCTGTGGCCGCGAGGAAGTGGCCAGAGGATGTTTGGCCTCGTGCCTCAGCGATGCGGTAACTTCCTCCAGTGGGGAGGTGCTGTGTCCTGCCGTCTGCCCCCTGCCTTTCCATGGAGACCAGCGGAAACCAGCCCCGAACACAGTCCCCCCCCGCCCTCGCCCAGCCCAACCCAGCCCAGCGCAGCCCCACTCACCCCTGGTTGAGGTCGTTCTCGGTGTTGTCCAGCCACAGCCGCACAGCCACCGCGTTGCCCTCCCGGCATTGTGTGAAGATGTCGTCCATGGCGGCTGTGGGAGGGGACGCGGGTAAGGACATGGGGACCCCTGATTCCCCCCCCACCCCGGCTGGGAGGTCCCTGAAACAAGTACAGGAACTTCCTGGCCCCCTCCTTGTCCCCTCCCGCCCCATCCCTGCAGCTCTCCAGGAAGCCGCAGGCAGGCTGAGGTCGGGGCTGGAGCCGGACCCGCAGCCCAAGATCCCGGGTGATTCCAGCATGGCCGTGGCCACCCGCAGGAAGCCAGGCTGGCACCCCCGGGCTTATCACCAGGCACAGCTGGCCCCAGTGCCCACAGCTCTGGGGGGGAGTGAGGCTGGGGGAGCTCAGCACCCACAAGATGGCATCCTGAAGCCCTATGACCCTCCTGACCCACTTGGCTGGGCCTGGTATGGCACCATGCTCAGAAACCAGGACCCCAGAGTCTCATGCACTCCCCTTGGATCCACGGACACTCCAGCTCAGAGCCAGGCACAGAGCTCCTTCCTGCTCCCCATGATCCCCCGAGCCCCTGGCTGTGAGCGTGGGAGGTCTGCGATGTTGAGCAGGGACATGGAGTGAGTCTCACAGTATGGGGACAGAGTTAGATTGAATATGAGATGCCTGACATGCACCCACTGGGGCTCAAACCTGCTGCTCGAGGATCCCCCTGGACCTGATGCCAATCCAGACACGGCAGGACCCCTACCAGCTGCCGGCGCCTGCAGCTGCCCCCCAGGACCCTGCCTGCACCCCTTGCCTCAGGCAGCTCCGGAGGGGTGGGATGCAGAACCCTGGATTCTTGCCAGGGTCTCATAGGCCCCAGCACATCCATGGCACCACTGGCCCTGTCCCGGCACCAGAACACCCACACTCCCGGATGAGATTTATCCCCCACCCATCTGGTGGCACCTCACGAAAAGGGGTCCCCAGGACATGCCACACCAGTCCCGGCCCTGTGGGACCACACACCGCTGTGATGACACCCTACTCTGGCCCCACCCTGTCCCCTGCTCGGTCCGGGACTGTGCCCTCCTGTCACATACCGGTCCCTACTCAGTCTCGTGGGGCTGCCAGGACCGGCCAGCCCCAGCACTGCCAGGATGGCCAAGTGCCCACCTCGGCCCTGCTCAGCACCCGCGGCAGGGGACGGGATGTGGGTGGGGACACAGTCTCCCCGCGTTACCCCAAACTAGTGGCTAGTGCCGCGCTCTGCCCTGCAGCCGCATCAGTCCCTCCCCTTCAGCCCCCCAATCCCTCCCCTGTACCCCCAACCCTTCCCTGCACTTCCAATCCCTTCCCTGCGCCCCCCACCCCTCCCTCGCAGCTCCCCCCCTCCGGCCCAGGCTCCGGCTCCGGCAGGTCTCCCTCCGGCCCCGGCCCCGCCCCCGCTTCGGGTCGCCGCAGCCTCCCGCTCGCGGCCTCCCCAACCTGTCCCCGCTCGGTGCCGGTGCCGTCCCGCCGTTACCGGGTGCGTGTCCCGGCGGCTCCGCAGGGCGGCGGCTGCAGCGGGCGCGGGACGGCGCGGGGGCTCCGCCCCGACACGGCGCCCTCTGCCGGCCGGAACCCGCCACGGCCACGGCTCCGCCACACGGCACCGGGCGGGGCAGCGGGCGGGGCGAGGCCGTCGTCGGGGAACTCGGTCATGCGGGCTGGAGGCGGGGTTATGGGGCGTGCTGAATTGACCGGGGGCGGAGCGGAGTGTCCGCGGCACCTCCCGATCCTCCGGGCCGCGAGGAGGGGCTGTTCCCGCGGCTCTTCCCGGGCGGGAACACGTGCGTCCCGGTACCGACCGAGGGTCCCCGTTCCATGTTCGCGGAGCAGGACTGGAACGATGCAGCGGAGCCGCTGCCCCGCGGCGCCCCGGAGGGCCCGGGCCGGCCGGTAAGCGGGTGACGCGGGGGCGGCGCGCCGGGCCAGTCCCGGGCGCGCGGAAGTCACCGGCCCCCACTCTCCACAGGGCCCCACGACGGGAAAGAGGCGGCTGCCCGGGACCGGGCGGGACAGCGGGGCATCACGGAAGCGGCCCCGGAAGCGGAAGAAGGGCGGCGGGCCGCGGGCCGCGGCGGAGGAGCTCCCGGCCAGTCCCGACGAGCCTCGGGAGGTTGGGCAGCGGCCAGACAGAGGTACCGGGATGGCTCCGGGGCCCGGCGGGCAGGAGGGAGCCTCCTTCGCGCCCTGACCCCCCCTCTCGATGCCCCCAGAGGGCCCGGCTGAGCCGGCGGAGGAGTCCGGGAAGCCGGCGGGGCTGAGCCGTAGGCAGCGGCGGAACCGGCAGAAGCGGCAGCAAGAGCCGCCGGCAGGGTCGGATGGGGAGCGGGGCTCAGGGCCGGGACCCCCGGACCCGCCGGGCCCTGCGGAGGCTCCTCCAGAGCCCCGCTCGGGCCGCTCGGCCGCGCTCCGCGCACGAATGGAGGAGCGGCTGCTCGGCGCCCGGTTCCGTTACCTGAACCAGCAGCTCTACACCGGGAGCAGCCAGGACGCGGCGCGGCTCTTCCGCGCCGACCCTGCCGCTTTCCACCTGTACCACCGCGGCTTCGAGCGGCAGGTGCGGCGCTGGCCCGAGCGCCCCGTGCAACGCATCGTGCGCTACCTGCGCCGCCGGTGAGCGGGAGGGCGAGGCCTGAGGGGGAATATGGACCGGAGGGGCCGGTGAGCGGGGGCAGAACGGGGATGGACTGAGGAGGGGCTGGGGGGCGCGGGGCCAGAGGATGGCCGGAGGGGCCATGAGCGGCGGAGCCAAGGGGTAAGCGGTGGGGCGAGGGGATTACCAGGGGACCGGTGACCGGCTGGGCCAGGGCGCTCTGACCCCGCTATCCCTACCGCAGGCCAGCGTCGCTAGTAGTGGCGGATTTCGGGTGCGGGGACTGCACGCTGGCTGCCAGTGTCAGGAACCAGGTGCACTGCTTCGACCTGGTGCCACTGTCCCCGCGGGTCACCGTCTGTGACATGGCCAAGGTACTTGGGGCACCCCCGGGGCAGGGAGTGGGTGCTGCGGGGGTGCAGGTGGGGGCATCCTGACCCCGAGGGTCCTGTGCGGGAGGGGCAGCACGGGTGTTTTTATTCGAAAGCTGGGTGTGTGGCACGGCTGAGTCCACAAGCCAGGAGAGTCCAGGGGCATTGCCCAGCCCTATAAACATCGCCGTCCTCCTGCTCCCGGAGATATGCAGAGCGGCTTCTAGGCCAAGTCATCATCCTCCTTCTCCGGGGGTGTTCCGGGTTGGGCAGGTGCCACTGGCGACTGAGTCGGTGGATGTGGCCGTGTTCTGCCTGGCGCTGATGGGCACCAACCTGCAGGAGATCCTGGGAGAGGCCAACCGTGTGCTCAAGCTCGGGTAGGCAGAGGTTGTGGGGCAGTGGGAGACTGGGGGAGGAGCAGGGATGCTGTGTCCTGGGGGTGCTGGGTGCCCTGCTCAGAGCTCAAGTGACCGCAGGGGGACCCTGATGGTGGCCGAGGTGGCCAGCCGCTTTGAGGACACACATGCCTTCCTGAAGGCCATGACGCAGCTGGGCTTCAAGACCGTCTCCAAGGTGTGTTCCCAGGTGTGCCTAGGGCTGGGCAGTGGGTGCACCAGGAACCAGGGAGCCCAGGGAAGGAGCTCATGGAGGGGTAATATTGAGGCCCAACCTGGTGTGGAGCAGACCAGGGGTTGGTAAAAGTAGATGAAGGTGGAAGGGATTGGTGCATGGGGAACTGCAAGTCGGAGAACAGGGGTCCAGTATGCACAGGAGTGGAGTTCTGGAGCAGGTTTGGAGGTCCTGGGGACTGTGGGGGTGCGCTGTGGCAGTTTGGGATACGGGTTGGATGGGGTGATGAGGGGAGCACACTGGGATTGTTAGTGCAGGACCTGGAGGTGGGTGCGTAGCTTAGGAGGGGCTTGGGGGTCCCGGGGCCTGGAGGAATTGTGGTGTGTGGTTCATGGTGGGTGTTAGGCGTTAAGAGGGATACACCGGGAGCCAGGGTACTCAGGCCCCACAAGGGCTTTGGAGCCAGGGTCTGGGGGCAAGAGGGCCCTGGGCACAATGGGGTCTGAAAGGAGGCAGGGGGGTACCCTGAGGGCGTTGTCTGAGGCAGCATTGACAAGGCTGTGGTGATGATGGGGGCTCCAGGGTGCCGGTAACAGAGTCGGGTGTTCCCGCGCCCCTAGGACCTCTCCAGCTCCTACTTCTACCTGTTGGAGTTCGCCAAGACCGGCCCGGCCCGGCCCGGCCCCGCTCCCGGGTTGCGCCTACGGCCGTGTCTGTACAAGCGGCGGTGACCGGAGCGGCGGGGCCGGCCCGCGGGGATGGGGGCATGGCCACTGTGCTGGCCCCGCCCCCCGCGCGTAACCACCAATAAAGCCGCTGCTTCCTCACAGCTACGCGTGCGCCTCTGGGGGCGGGGCCGCGCCTGCGCGCTGCTGTCGGGCCTGCGCGGCGGCAGCTCCCGGTACCGGGATGTCGGGGCCGGGCGGGCCGGGCCCCGCCGGGGCCAAGCTCGACATCAACCGCGCCGGCGTGGCCGAGCTGGAGGGTGCCCTCAGCGGTATCGGCCGCCGTCGTGCCCGTGGTATCGTCCGCAAGAGAGAGGTGCGGGGAGGTGGGGGGGAGAGAGAGAGGGGGGGACGGCACCCCGCGGTGAGCGACCTGGGACCCCGAGTGGCGGTGTCGGTCCCGGGGTGGGGGCCGTGGGGCGAGTGCGGGGTGACAATGCTGTTTGCGTCCTGTGGACGCCTTGTGAGGCCGGCCGAGATACCCGAGTCCCGCCCTGAGCCCGCGGGGCCGGGCGAGCGCAGCCGCCCCCGGTGCTGCCGTCCCTGCTGCCGGGTCCAGGCGGCGCCCCCGGCCTGAGCAGGGAACCGGGGGGAGCCAAGTTCTGGCGGGACGGGACGGGCATCACACCCCGAACGCCGTCGCCGGCGATGTTGGGGCGAGATCCTGCCGCGACCGGTGACATGGCTGGGAGCAGTGGGAGCGGCACCGCGGGCCCCAGTGCGGCGGATACGGGCGGGTCAGCGGCAGCCGTGCCCTAATGCTACGGGGACGGGCAGCGCCGCGGCCGGGAGAGGCAGGGCTGGGAGCGTTTGGCATGTTTGGGGCTGGAAAAGGTGGTAGAGGGGTGGATGTCCGAATGCTGTGAACACGTATGTTGGGAACACCGGGAGGTATGAGGGCAGAAACCGCTAATACGAAGGGAGGGTGGTCTGGAGCAGGGCCTGTCCCGGGGCGGTGCTGTCACTGCAGCCCTTTGTGGGGAGCAGCAGCGCCGTAAAACGAATCCTGCCAAGTCAGAAGGGCCAGTCGGGCCCTTCCAGGCCCGTGGGCTGTGCTGGTTGTCCGCCGAGTCCTGCCCCGGGACAGCTTGGCCCCGCAGCTTCCGCGCATGGCAGGCGCTCCGGGAGCCCGTGTAGGGTGATGGGACGCACCTGATCCTGGTCGGGGCCGGGCAGTGCTCGGCCCGAGGTCCCGCGGGACGGTCGGTGCCTCGCACATGTGTGTGTCTTCATGTGCCCAGTTGTTCCCCTGCCCTGGAGCTGTAGGCTCTCTCCCCATCCTGGCACTGGTTATCTGGGGGACACAGATAACCCCAGCTGGCAGTTTTGGGTTGCTGCCCCTCCTCTCACAGCGCTGTGACTCTTCCGTGCGGGGCCACTCGGGCAGGGGGCTCTGTGGGAGCAGGAGGGATTCTGTTCTGGGCAGGGCTGACTTCTCTCCGCACAGGAGCTGAAGGGCTTCACTTGCTTGGATGACCTGCTGCATGTCAAGGGCATTACCACACGCATCCTGGAGCTCAACAGCCAGCGCATGACGTGCCGGCAGTGCCCGGGCCCCGAGAGGCCCCCACGGGCTAGCCCCACTCCCTTGGGGGACAATGAGGACCACAGGGCACCTGCAGCACAGGTAGGTGGAAAAGGGTCTCTGCTGCCAGGTGGAAGGACAAGGGACAAGGTCTAGCTCTGGGGGGGCTCAGGAGAAGCTCGTGGCGAGCAGACAGAACTGCACCAGATTCTGGAGGAGCTTATGGTTGTGGGTTTGGGGGTTCTCCACTCTACAATCCCCCACAGTGCTGTTGAGTGGAGCCCCTGTGCTCCGGGGCCATGGCTCTCGCTGGCAGCCATCCAACGGCACTCCCAGCCCTTGTCCTCCTCCTGGTCTCCAGTGGCCCATGCTGGTGCGGAGTCAGCCCTGTTCCCTGCCTCTTCCCTGCTCAGGTGGTGGCTGAAGAGGAGGAAGACGAGGAGGAGGAAGCACCAGTGCCTTGGGAGCCAGAGCGCCCCTGGAAGGGTACCCCCAGGTCCAGAGCAGACCCTGATGGTTCTGGGGGACAGGGACCACAGGAGCACCCCAGGTCCACCAGGGAGCAGGAGGAGGAGGAGGAAGAAGAAGAGGAGGAGGAGGAGGAGGAAGGGAGCTGCTGCAGCGAGGAAGGGGAAGACAGCAGCAATGTATACCTGTACTACACTCTGGGAGAGCGCTGGATCGACTACCTCCAGCGCACTGGGGATGGGGGGCTGCTGCGGCACCTGCGCCCCAAGGTGACCAGGGGGCAAGGAATGCTGAGGCACTCTGGGCACCTGCAGGAGGCTGCAGGGGCTGGGGTTCTGTAATGCCTGGCTGCTGGGGCTGGGGAAAAAGTTGTTGCCCCCGTCCCCCATGCAGACTCCTGCCCAGCGTGGGGGTCCTTGGTCATAGGGTGGGGGAGGTGCTACCCTGGTCTACCCTAGTGCCCAGCCCTGCCCTGCCCAACCCTGGTGTAGCCCTCCTGTGGGCATCCCTTGTTGCTGTGTGGACCCTGAAGGAAGAAAGCAGGAGAGTGAGCGTCTGCCCCATAGCACTGGACAGGGGGCCCACAGGGGTTGGTTCTGGGTGGGTGGTATGTAGGGGTCCAGAAGGATCAGCTCTGGGCAGGGAGCCTGCAGGGGTCTGCCTGGACTTGTTCCAACCGCTACAATCTGCTGTGTCCCACAGATGAAGCGGAAGTCAGAGAATGGGCCGGATGGCCGGGCCTTGTCCCCTGGGAAGAAGCTGTGCAAGGGCTCTGACTATGGCAGGTGAGGGGTGCGGGGTGCTCTGAGTGCAGCTAGTGAAGGGGGTTGTGTGTGCTGGGACAGCACATACCTCCTGCTGCCCTCCCCAGGAGGATGATGGAGACACTTGGGTTGAGCAGGGGTTGGCCCAGCTGAGATCCAGCCCTGACCAGTTGCCTGTCTCCTGGGCAGGCTGGGCTGCATGTCTGGGCAAGGGGTCAACAGGGTGGGAGCAAAGAGAAGTCAGTGGGGTGGAGCTCCCACTGGTGGGAACCAGTTCCAAGAGCCTCTGGCACAGTGTGGCCTGGAGCAGTGCTGACATATGCCACCTGTGCCATGGCCTCACTTGTGCCTGGTCTTTCTCCCAGGACACTGGGACCCTGTACACCCAGCCCCACGACTACCTTTGGGGACCTGCGCAATGCGAAGGTGGGGCAGGCCCGGCGCCGTCGCATCCCCTCAGTGGCCCCCCCTCCTGAGCTACAGGACTGGCTCCGCACCTTCCAGGTATGGCTCACCTGGTGGCTCCAGGCAGCCTGGGTGTGATGGGAGGGAGCCAAGCCTAAAGGATCCCCACTGTGGGCAGGGGTTGGGCCCACGGTGGATTTTTGATAGTTTTGCTTGTGTGAGGAAACACAGAGGAGGTTTCAGCCCTGGCCAGAGTTGGTGTCACCTGTACTCAGCACCACCAAACTTCCACCCGCCTCGGGCTCCTTGCCTGGGGCAAGAGGCCTGGCTGTCGGGCTAGCTGGGGACACAGAGCCAGGGATCACTGGGGGTCCCCCTTGCAGCGCTGGAGTGGCCCTGAGAAGCTGCTGGCCCTGGATGAGCTCATTGACCGCTGCGAGCCGGCACAGATCAAGTACATGATGCAGGTCATCGAGCCCCAGTTCCAGCGGGACTTCATCTCCCTGCTGCCTAAGGAGGTGAGTGAAGCTGGGGAAGCAGGGACCTGGCCTGACCTGACCCCCCGGTGATCCCTCTGTGACCTTTATCCCCCCCCATAGCTGGCCCTGTACGTCTTGTCTTTCCTGGAGCCACGGGACCTGCTCCGTGCTGCCCAGACTTGCCGCTACTGGAGGGTCCTGGCCGAGGACAACCTACTCTGGAGGGAGAAGTGCCGTGAAGAAGGTGAGGGTCCTCCCGCGTGGGGGCTGGGGCGCCACCCCAGGCTTGACCCAGGTGAGGCACTGCTGTGTTGTCCCCTGCAGGGATTGAGGAGCCCCTGCACCTGCGGAAGCGGCGCCTGCTTAGCCCCGGATTCATGTACAGCCCCTGGAAATTCGCTTTCCTGCGCCAGCACCGCATCGACATGAACTGGCGTAGTGGGGAGCTGCGGCCCCCCAAGGTGAGTCTCGGTGTCCCAGCAGGGACAGACTCTGGGGAGCTGCGGCACCCCAAGGTGAGCCTGGGAGTGTCCCTGCCTGGGGCTGACCCTGGAGAGCTGAGGAGCTGGTGGGGGTCCCTCTGGGGACAGACCCCAGGTCACTGGTATGGGGAAGCTGCTGTAGGATCTGCTATGGGGAGCAGATCTGGCTTGCTTAGAGCAGTGGGGGCAGCTGAAATTAGGTCCCCTGGGCCTGGAGAAGGCGGGGGGGGGGGGTCCCTTTCTTTGCCCTTCTCCAAGGCCCCCATGCAGGGCTGCAGCCATCTCCAGCACCCAGGGAAGGTGCAGCGTCACAGAACCCTGGTGATCTCTCCCTGCGGGTCCCTTCTGCCCCTGGGCAGAGTCTCCACCACCCCTTTTCTTGCTCCTTCAGGTGCTAGGTTCTTGAGCCCCCCCATTCCCTGTTCTCCTGTAACCTCTGCCCCTGTGCAGCAGCTGCCAAACTTACCACACACCCCAGCTCTGCTGCCCTGCAGAATCATTGGGGGTGCAGGTGATTTGGAGACCTGTTTATCTGCCTTTCCTCCCAAGAGCTCTTGCTGCCTTCCCATTGCTCATTGTGCTGGGGGGTCCTCCTGGCTGCGGGGGGGGCACACTGCCCCCAACACACTCTTGTGCTCCCACAGGTACTGAAGGGCCACGACGACCATGTGATCACCTGCCTGCAGTTCTGCGGGAATCGCATAGTAAGCGGCTCTGATGACAACACACTCAAAGTGTGGTCAGCTGTCACTGGGGAGGTGAGTGTCCCTGTCTCCACGGAGATGAGTGTGGTACTGTCACTGGCACCGCAGGGGTTTGGGGCAGGGACCATCTGCCTGTGCTGGGCACAAGTGAGGCCACACCCTGACTCCTGGGGTCAGTTTGGGTCCTTTATGACAAGGACGTGGAGTTGTGCTGCTCCTCTGTGCTGTTTCAGGGATGGGGAGGTGTGAGAGGCTCACCTGTCCCTCGTGTTCTGTTCCCCACAGTGTGTGCAGACGCTGGTGGGCCACACTGGAGGGGTTTGGTCCTCCCAGATGAGGGACAGTGTTGTCATCAGTGGCTCCACTGACCGCACACTTAAGGTGTGGAATGCTGACAGCGGCGAGTGCGTGCACACTCTATACGGACACACCTCCACCGTGCGTTGCATGCACCTGCACGGCAACAGGTACGGGGCTGATGGTGCTGTGTGAGGGGGGGCATCCGCAGGGGGTGAGGCTTGTTAGCCCCAGGCTGCCCTGGCAGCTGGGCCCCAGGTTATCCTCTTGCCTGCAGGGTGGTGAGTGGCTCCCGGGATGCCACACTGCGGCTCTGGGACATCGAGACGGGGCAGTGCCTGCACGTGCTGATGGGCCACGTGGCAGCCGTGCGCTGCGTCCAGTACGATGGCAACAAGGTGGTCAGCGGTGCCTATGACTACACGGTCAAGGTGTGGGACCCTGAGAGCGAGAGCTGCACCCACACACTGCAGGGGCACACCAACCGTGTCTACTCACTGCAGGTACGGCCCCGCACACATCCCCTCCTGCTCCTTCCCCGTCTCTAGCTCCCCTGCCCTCCCTGCTCCCTGCAGCTACAACCTCGAAGGTACAGCCTGCCCTCCTGCTGGCTTGCCCTACCACTTCCCTGCCTTCTAGTCATGGGGCACAAGCTGTGCCAAAGGTCCCACATGTGCTGTAGGGACAAGTGGGCTCTGCCTGTGTCATACAAGGCCCTGTGTTCTTTGTAGGGACATGTGGGCCATGTCTGTGCCGTGATGTATCTGCTATACAAGGACACACAGACCATGTTTGTGTCCTGTGGGGACAGTTTCTGCCCCCCTGACCCCGCTTCCCACACACACGTGCTGTGGACACAAGCACTCCTCCCTGCCCCTTCCCTGGAGCATTTCTACAGCCCAAAAAGCCAGGAAGTGTATGAGCCTATGTCTCAGATGCTGAACTGGGGTCTCTGGGGGGGGGCTGTATCCCAAACCACGGGATGCCAGAGCTGTGGTCCACACCCCAAACCAGGGGCCACTCCTGTCCTCGATGCTGAGCTGGACCCCTTCTCTCTGGCAGTTCGATGGGACACATATTGTGAGTGGGTCCCTGGACACATCAATCCGCGTGTGGGATGTGGAGAGTGGGAACTGCCTGCACACGCTCATGGGGCACCAGTCACTCACCAGCGGGATGGAGCTGCGGGACAACATCCTCGTGTCTGGCAACGCTGACTCCACTGTCAAGATCTGGGACATCAAGACGGGGCAGTGTCTGCAGACACTGCAGGGTGAGAGGGGATTCCTCACCCTTGGGGGGCAGTGGGATGTTCCCTTCATTAGGGGGCTAGGAAGGGGAAACTCTCTCTCTTGGGGGGAGAGGGAGCTGTGTTGGCTCTAAGCTGTCAGATGTGTCTAGACGGAGTGGTGGGTGTCCCTGAGGAGCTAGGGCTGGGTGGCTTTGAGCTGCCAGATGTGGCAGGAGCTATGCCACACAGCATTAGGTGCCCCAGGTGCACCTGGGGCTCACCTGTGCCTCCCCATAGGTCCCAGCAAGCACCAGAGTGCTGTCACCTGCCTGCAGTTCAGCTCCAAGTTCGTGGTGACCAGCTCGGATGACGGGACAGTGAAGCTGTGGGACCTGAAGACAGGGGAGTTTGTGCGAAACCTCGTGGCCCTGGAGAGTGGGGGCTCTGGGGGGGTCGTGTGGCGCATCCGTGCCTCCAACACAAAGCTGGTGTGTGCTGTGGGCAGCCGCAATGGCACTGAGGAGACCAAGCTGCTGGTGCTGGACTTTGATGTGGACCTTAAGTGACCCCGGCCAGCCCGGGGGTCCCGCGGGAGGGGTGGCCCCGGCGCAGGCGCTGGCCCCCGCGGGCAGGACAGAGGGAGTGCTGGGCCGGGCCTTATTTATATGCGCGGGAGTGCCCGGCCAGGCCTGCAGGAGCATGTTTTGTACACGGAATATATCAATTTATTTCTGTACTGGGGCAAATGCTTACCTGCCCAAGCCCTAAGCGCTGCCCTGGGCCCGCAGCAGGGAGAGAAGAGGCCACGCTCTCCCAGGTGTCACAGGGACACTACGCATACATGCCTTTAGCCTGGCAGCACCTGACACTTCCCCCTTTCCCCCTCACATCCCCACATTGCCCCATCTGAGTGCCTGCTCTGCACCAGCCATTTGTAGGGAGAAGGTTCAAGGCCCCCACAGTGTCCTGGTGCTCACAGGGGAGACCTTTGTCTCACATTTAGGTACAATTACCTGGATTCCCAGTTGTGCCATGGGCTCCCCAGCACACCCAACAGGAAAAAGAGGCCAGGGCTCTGGTGCCCTCCCCACATGTCACACTAAGGCATTACTGTAAATATGTTTTATTTGGACTAACACTCCACTTCCCAGAAGTCCACAACCACGAGGGCTAGGGGGGGGCTTTCCCCCAGTTCCTGTGCCCCTATCCCCGGTACCCTGCACAGCCCAGCCACTGCCAAGTGCAGATGCTGCTCCAGCCTGGAGCTCCAGCGCAGTGAGGATGCAGCTGCTCCAGTCGGGTCCGACTGGCGCAGGGAGCTGTGGCCAGATGCTGCTATGTGCCGGCAGCGGGACCATCTGGCGAGGACTCCGCGGGGCCCGGGGCCGGCTCAGAAGAGGCTGGGAGTCCGGATGGCCCAGCTGCTGTCCCGTACTCGGCTGCGCGGCGCTGCAGCATTGCCGGCACCAGTCCCACGTAGGCGCCCATCAGGCGGTGGTTGGCGCGGACCAGCCTCGCGGCGCAGCTGTCCAGACACGACTCCTGCGGGAGGGACGGGATGGGGTGAGGGGGCGTGGGGACAGCCGACATGCGGTCCCCCGTGCCCCGCTCACCTCGCGGCCCGTGAGCAGCCGGTAGTTGAGGTTGCAGACACAATGGCGGAAGCAGAGCTCGGTCATACGGTTGTAGACCAGCAGGAAGTCCCGCAGCTGGGGAGCAGGCATGGGTCACACCGGGTGGAGCCGGTCTGGAACCCCCGAAACCCACCGGGAGCGCCGGCGTGCTCCCGGCCAGACCGAGACGCCCGGGTCCTCTTCCAGGACCTGCTGGTTCTCCTGCGAACCCGGGACCTCGAGATCCCACACCCGGAGCCCTCGGGACACACCGGGACCCGCCACCAAACCGACAGCCTCGGGACCACCCATAAAGGCCTCGCGGCACACCGTGCTCCCCACCCCCGGCCCAAGCGCTCACGCTGCGGAGCTGCTGCCGGTGCTCGGCCGCCGGGTCCATCGCGGGCCCGGGCGCGGGCCCGGTCCCTCCGCGCTCGGCGGGACCAGCCGCCGAGCTCGCAGCAACGTCACTTCCGTCCGGCTCAGCGATGACGCCACTTCCGGGCCTCTGACGCCACTTTCGGCGCGTCCGGGCCGAGGCGGAGCGGGAGAGGCGCGGGGGGGCCCGGCGGGGCCCGGGCGCAGGTGGGGCCAGAGGGGGGACCGGGGAAGCTGGGCAGGGTGGGTGGCCGCGGGGCCGGTGGAGTCTGGCTGGGAGAGCCCCGGGAGCGAGGCTGGGGCCGCCGTCGCCCGCTCTGGCCGGTTCCATCAAGAGCAGCCACCGCGGGTTCCCTCGGACGTCGGTCCCGTCTCGGGGCCTTGCCGTGCGTGGCTGCGGAGGGGTCCATTCCAACGCTGCCTCCGCCCCGTCCCGGAGGCTGTGGGGACTGCGGGGCCGTTCTTCGGCGAGGATGGGTCTGGGCGGTGACGGCCTCTGCCCGCAGGGTTCGACCCTAGAGCTGGGCCGGGCCCTGTCCTCGCCGGGGAGGGGACAGGTCACAGGTAACGGGTTCTCGAGAGCCCGCCCCGGGCCCCGCCTGCCCTGGAATGTGCCCGGACCGGTCCGGGCGCAGCGGGCCCCCCCGCCGCTCTCCTGCGGCTGTGGACGTGGCTCCCGGCGCCCTCCTGGCTGGGCTTGGGCGCTGCTAGCTCCGTTGTCCCGGGGCAGGGTCTGCGGCACGCGGGGATCCCCGGCGGGGTTTGTGAGAGGGAGTACGGAGTGCGGCCCAAGGGGTGGGGTAACCCGGGAGTCCTGTGCGTGATGGTGTGGGAGCCACAGTGGGGTCCAGGCAGAGGCTGGGGTTGGGGTCGGTGCCTCTGGGATGTGCCACCCTACGGGTCCGTTCTGGGAGCCAGAGGTGTCCCGAGAGACGGCCGAGCTGGGCAGGGTAGTGGCTGCAGGAGGCCCTGGGCAGGGGACAGAGTCTGCCCAGTGCCAGCAGCTGCCGATGTGGGGCCCTCCCTCCGCGCTGTAAACTCCTGCTGTCCCCTTCCAGCACGGCCCCGCGGGTACTGGCTGGTTCCCCTGGCTGGAGGGTAGTCCTGGCCCCAGCACCACATCTGTGTCCCCGCAGGCCCTGAGGATGTCGGACGGGATCCTGAGCAAGGCAGCCACCATGGAGATCCCCATCAGCAGCAACGGGGACACCAGCAGCCTGCCCGAGGACGATGGCCTGGAGCAGGTCTGGGGATTGGGAACCCCAGGGGAGTGTTTGGGGCTGTACCAGTCTCTGCATCTCAGCCCCCTGTGCTCCTCTGCCTCTCAGGACCTGCAGCAGGTGATGGTGTCAGGACCCAACCTGAATGAGACCAGCATCGTGTCAGGCGGCTATGGGGGCACAGCCGAGGGGATCATCCCCACTGGCACCATCAAAGGTAATGCGGCTGGGCTGGGAAGGAATGGGGATCATCGTGGGAAGAAGGGGCTCAGCTCTCCTCATTGCCCCTGACTTAGGACACAAGGTTCTGCTACAGCCCAGCCAAAGTGTCTCCCGGATGGGCTCTGTTCCCGCTGGGCTCGGGTTCTGTTTAGGGGCACTGTGTGAGGGAGTGTACTAGTAGCAGAGAAGGAGCTGCTGCCCCAGCTCTGCTCTCCCTGGGCTGGGTTACTTCCTTGTCACAGGGTGGGGTATCTGCTGGGAAATCTCCCATCTCCTTGGTCAGCGCATCCCCATAGGATTCTGAGTCCCTGCTGTGGTGGAGGATCCCAGATCTGTCCTGGTCCATATGCAGCAGGAACTCTGGAGTGTGCTGGGGATGAGAAGCAGGCAGGGCGCCCCAAGCCTACACCCTACTGACATCTTCTTACTGCCCAGTCAGAGCAGGCCACAGTGGGGCCAGTTGGACTCTGCACCCTGGGAGACCTGGCACTGCTGTCCTTGTTCCATGCAGATCGCTCCCTGACGGTTCTCCCAGGGCTTGAGGAGGGTCCATGTGGACAGAGAGGGCGAGTGTGTGTGTGTGTGTGTGTGTGTGTGTGTGTGTGTGTGTGCTTTCCTGGAGCACCACCGCTGCTGGCCTGGTGTCCTCATGTCTCTCTGTCCCCGCGCCCCCGTGACGCCAGGCCTACCCAGCTCTTGAGGTGCAGGAATTCCTGCATACGGGCCGGAGGTGGGGGGGGGTTTCCTGGGCTGGGGGAGTCCATCTGTGTGGCTGTAGCCATGTCTCTGGGTTCCAACGCTCACCTACTGCCATCACTCTCCCGCTGCCGCCCGCCCGCGCACTCGTCCCTGTCCCCTGCCCCCCGTCCCCACTGCCCTGGCTACCCTACTGCCCTATCCTGTCCTGCCCCATCCTGCTCGGCCCCCGCAGCCCCCCCGTTTCCAGGCTCTCTTGTCCACCCTCACCCCCCCCGAGGACCATCGGTGCCCCCCAGCGCGCCTGCTGCCCGTAGGATGGCCCGCCCGGCCGCTGCTCCCGCAGGTACTGCGCCCCTCACTCCACCTCAGGGCGTCCCTTGGGGCTGGGGGGCCCTGGGCCTCCCTAGGGACCTTGGTAAGAGCCCCCATGGCAGCTGTGTCATGGCCAGAGCCTGGTCCTTGTGCTGTGACAGAGGACAGTGCTGATGGGCCCAGGGGGCTCAGAGGTGGGTCCTAGCCAGCTCATCCTGCCCCTAGAGCCCACCTGAGGCACTCCCCGTGCTACTGGGTGGTGTTTCCCATGTGTCCGGCCTGGTGAGGGTGGTCAGCAGGATGGGGCAGGGCCTGGTGCGAGTAGACGCAGCTGGGCTGGGGTCTGTGCCCTTGTGTAGGACCCTCAGAGGGCTAACAGGAGCAGGGTACTCACCACGATGCCTGTGAGCCAGTGCTGGGCATGTGTCCAGAGCTGGGGATGCTACTGTGGAAACAGCGGCTCCAGGGCAAGGGCTCTGGAGGCTGGGGGTGCTCGGTCCCCATGGCTGCTTCCCTCCTGGAGCTGGTGCCAAGTCCTTTCTGTCTCTGTCCCTGTGCCAGGCCCCGGGCTGCACCCACCACCCCCTGGACCCCCACCTGGTGGAGAGGAGGTCGTGCGTGGCATTGCCGTTGAGAAGTTTGACATCGTCAAGAAGTGGGGGATCAACACCTACAAGGTGAGGGGTGGGAGGGACTCCAGCGGGCCTTCCCAGCGCCCCTCTCACAGCAGCTGCTCTCGGACTGGTTGGGGGGACTCACACATGCTTTGGGGGTCGCCCGGTTTGCCCTTCCTGCAGTGCACCAAGCAGCTGCTCTCAGAGCGGTTCGGACGGGGGTCCCGCACGGTGGACCTGGAGCTGGAGACTCAGATTGAGCTGCTGCGTGAGACCAAGCGCAAGTACGAGAGCGTCCTGCACCTGGCACGGGCACTCACAGCCCACCTCTACAGCCTCGTACAGACCCAGCACGCCCTGGGAGACGCCTTTGCTGACCTCAGCCAGAAATCCCCTGAGCTCCAGGTGTGCCAGGGCTAGGGGGAACGCTGGAGAAAGGGCAGGGACACATGGGCACCAGGGCTGGTGGGCGGGGCAGAGGCAGCTGGGGCTTGACACTGGGGTTGTGGGGGTCAGGACGTGGGGAGTCAAACTTGGACACCAGGGCAGGAACACGATCTGCACAGGAGTGGATGTGCATGCAGGTGCTGGGCTTGGCGGTGCTGGGTCATGGTTGGTCTCAGGGGCTTTTACTTCAGCACCCTTGATGGAGAGAAGTGGGGATGTGATCCGTGCCCCCTCATCTGTGTACCCATCTCTCTGTCCCCAGGAGGAGTTTGGGTACAATGCAGAGACACAGAAGCTGCTGTGCAAGAATGGGGAGACGCTGCTGGGTGCTGTCAACTTCTTTGTGTCCAGCATCAACACGCTGGTCAACAAGACCATGGAGGACACGCTTATGACAGTGAAGCAGTATGAGACAGCCAGGTGGGACAGGGAGCTCGGGGGGCTCAGGGATCCTGGGGAGAGCTGGAGGCAAGTCACTGATCCAGGGGTTCTGTGCAGGTTGGAGTATGACGCGTACCGCACAGACCTGGAGGAGCTGAGCATGGGCCCACGCGATGCTGGCGCTGTGAGCCGCCTGGACGCAGCCCAGAGCCAGTTCCAGAGCCACAAGGACAAGTATGAGAAGCTGCGGGCAGACGTGGCCATCAAGCTCAAATTCTTGGAGGAGAACAAGGTGGGTGCAGGGATGGG